AAACAAAAACTACCCAGAATACTCTGACAACCCAAGAATTGAACATAAATCAGTATTACAGTGATTTTGATGAACAACGTGTGCTTGCTGATGCAAGTAAGAATATCATGTTAAACAGTATTTCCTAAGTAGTAATCCTTACCAAGAATGAGAATAAAGTGAAAAAAATACTATTAGGAACCACTTCTGCGAAAGTGAGTGTGAGCTATAGGAAGGGTTAAGTCTGACAAATCTACAAGCCTTTGGTTTTGGTCCTAGCTCTGTAATTCTAATGTGATTTTTACCCACTGTGTCCCTTATGTCCACATCTGTAAAATGGCAATAAGAATAAGGATACTTTTTACTTCCCAGAATCTTTATAAAGTTCTACGAGGTAACAGAATAAAAATGTTGATTTGCTGCTTTAATGTTATATTATCAGTTATGGTGTAAATGTAGACTGATGAATTGCTGCAGGAAACTAGGAAGGAACTATGAACCTATTACACAAAAGGAGTTACATATGTATTTATATACATGCAAATATATATATAAATGACTCCTGACAGAAAAGAAAAAAAAATAAGTGAAAACCCTGAAAAGTCTATAACTGAGAAAGCTGGATACTAAGTTTGTCTTGGTTCCTGTGTTTCCAAAATATACAAATATTTTTCTGCCACATGTTTTTTTTTAATTGATTCAGAGAAATTGATAGTGAAATAGATGGCTAGATGGGTAGCTAAAGAAATATTAAAAATATTAATAAAAGCTGGTTCAGAATAAAGACTTGCTCCTTTCTGACAAAAATTCAACGCAATGACTTCATTGGGCTCAGAAAAGAGTTCGGGAGAAAATTTTCATTCCTTTCTGTTTTCAAACACTCTGTGAGCACTAACCATATTCTTAGTACCATGCTCTGTAAGATTCAGTGGTCAAGAAAACAAAGGCCCTCCTGCCTGCCTCTTTCAGTTAAGACAGGCACAGGTAAATAATCCAGCAATTATGGTTCAGTGCTGTGCAGAGAAATACAAGGTACAGTGTGAGGACCCAGGAGGGCACCCAGTATGGAGTCAGGAGCCAGGCAGGGGTGGGAATGGCAGGATAGTCCTCCCGGGAAAAGAGAGGAAAGCAAGCTGACAAGTTGAAACCTAGAGGAAAGGGGATAACCACATGAAGAATGAAGGCTTATTCCAAGTAGAATGAAAAAAGAGAATATTAAATGCCTGGGATTAAATGAGGACAGTATATTCCAGGAACCAAAAATTGTTTGATCTGACTGGATGATGCAACAATACAGAAGGAATGGGAAATAAGGCTGGATAGAAAAGCAGAGACTAACCATGAATGACCTATTAAGCCATATTAAGAAGTTTGGATTTTATCTTGAGGGCAATGAGATTAATCAAGGGCTGTTATACTCACATTTCAATTTAGGGCAAAAACAATCTGATTGTAGTATGGTGAATGAATGACAGTGAGCTTGTGGAGAGGAAGCCTAGAGGCAAAGAAACTAGTTGTAATGCTTTTGCAGTAATTCAGGCCAAAAAAGAAATGTTGATGGCTGGAACAAGGCTAGTGCGAATAGGGATTGAGAGTCATAAATTAATCTGAGAGATGTTTAAAAGTCAAAAGCCATGGAACTTAGGGATTCGTTTTATGTGAGGGGTTAGTAAAGGAGAGAGAGAAGACAAGGGAAATAAACTTCTCTTTTGGTTTGGGCAACTGTTTGCATGGTGACATCATTACTGAAAAAGTGATCACAAGATTACAGGTGCTCTGTGGGAAGGAAGATGATAACTCCAATTCTGAGCATGTTGAATCTTGGATTTCTGTGTGACAGTCAATGGAGATGTAGAGTAGTTAGTTCACTGAAAGTGAAGATACAAAGTTCAGGAGAAGAATCTAGGCTGAAGATGCTGACTTGGGAGTCATCAGTAACACAGCCTTAGCTTCTGAAGCTAAAGAGTAGGTGAGATCACTCACAGTGACTCATACAGAAAAGAAGGCAGTGATCAAACCTTCAGATACTTAAGGAATAGGACAAGAAAAGGCCAGAAGTTAAACTTGGAAGACTTGCCAGAGGGGTAAGAGGAAAAGCTGTTGAGTTTGGTGACCTAAAAACTGGACCTAGAAACTAAGAAACTAAGGAAAGGAAGAAGGAGGTTATGGTCAACAAAGTCAAATACATTAAAAATAGGAATAATAACAAAAATTGTCCATTGGACCCAGAAACAACATTGTTCAAACAAATTGGTTAGTTTCTTGAGAGCAGTTTCTTTGGAGGTTAGTGAGAGAATCCAGATCACACTGAAGATTGGGTGTGAATGGGAGATGAAGACATGGTATTGAACAGTTCCTTCAAGAAATTTGAAGATAGAGACGTTGAAAGTAAGTAAGAGGATAAGACAGGATTTAAGGAGGGATTTCTTTCCAGAGCAAAAGACTGCATCATATATGCTTATGGGAAGAAGCTGATACAAAGTACAATAAGGTAGGAAGATAAATAATGGACTAAAATCTATTGGTTAGTGACCCAATAGTGACCCAGAGGAAGGTGAGATACAATGTCAACATGATCACATCTCTAACTGTTCAACACAAACACTTTCTGTATCTCCAGTATCTGAGATCCAGAACCTGAGTGTATCACCCTTCATATGGAGAAACAATATAGTTTGGTGGCCAAAACATAGCCCTGTAGTTAATTATTCTAGATTTTATTCCCAATTTTATCACCACCTGTTTATGTATCATTGAGCAAGTGAATGCACTTGCACACCATGTAAAATCAAAGTCCTTAGTACATGTGTATCCCTCCTCTAAAGGAGAAGTAATGTGAGTAAATTTTATCATAGATAAAAACTCTCTGGAACCTTGATCACTGGAGATTTTCTCTGTCTTGCAAATTGCATGTTTATGTATTAGAGATGCGGAGTCCTTCCCCCTCCCCAGCTTTTTTTCCTTTAACCAGAACACATCTGTATTTCTTTACTCTGTGTCCTGTCTTGGAATTTAGAATTAACTATAACTTGAGTGACATGAGCTCTTATTATTACTATATAGCTTCTTGTTACAGGTTTTAGATTGTTGAGGAAGGTGCCTAGGACGTCTAAATCTTATTCTCGAGCATCATCATAGGTTTATATTGTATTGTAGGTTTTTGGAGTTGTTCAGAACCACGGCTTACTCAGCTGGGAATTAGAAACCATAACTATTAAACAGTAGAACAACTGGATATTCTAGAGCTCTGAGTTCTAAGCCTAGCCCTGTTTCTTAATTGGATCACCCTTGACAAGCCATTATTTCCCTCTGTGCCTCATGTTCTTCCCTATGAAATGGTTACAACCTTTCAGGTCCTCATTGTAAAAGTCTAGGAGAGTATATGGCAAGTCAGTGTATGAACATGAGAAAACTATTCTTAACCCAAATAGATAAAAGGGGAAACAGAAACTCTACAAATAGCAGTTGCTAAATAACAGGAATCAACTACATTCTATTTCTGCCATTGGTTTTGATCTGGAATCACTGGGTCCTATCCAGAGGCCATATAAGATGTCATTTTTGAGAATAATGCTAAAGTCAGGATAATCCTCCTCCCACTTCCTTTTTGTGACACTCTGACCTGGTCAGTTGCCCAAGGACCATCAATGACTGCTAACAGGGATCTGCAAGGATCCTATGGTTGTCAGACAGCTGCCTCTATAAGCAGAAAATATTTCTGTTGTATTTGTTACTGCACAGGGTCAGTAAGGGGCAAGAAGAGTGAGAAAAAAATAAAATTTTTTAAATTATTGAATTCCTTCGTGCTTTCTCGTCTTCCTCCCTCATCCTGACACACACTTTCTCAGGGAGAGCATAAGCAACTAACAGCTTGGGGGAAAAAAAAAGAAAATCACAGTCAAAGCATAAACTCTGCAATTTGTAATCAGTGCATAACCTCTGTGATGAAACTTGTGAGTAAGTAATTCACTTTCCACTTAAGCCCACCAATGTGAGATCTCATGTTGCCGCCCTGAACACTAATGAAGGACGTCAGATGGCAGTACAGATAGCCCCTGGGGACTCATTTCTCACATCACCAAAAAGTAATTTCTGTCATTTTGGGCCATCTGGTAACCTGGATTGTGAAGATGAAGTTTCGTTCAAGTAGGGCTGAAGAGCACGGGCCCCAGTCTTTTCAGATTCAGATCTGTTTCTGCTTCTCACCTAGCCCCTTTATAGCTTAGTTTCCTACCCGTAAATAAAACCCTTCATAGGATATTATTTCCCTATTATAAGGAGTTACTGAAATAATACTTGTAAAATAATCTATATGAGGTCTTATGTATGATAAATGCTTAATTAAAGTTAACTATTATTAAAGTGTTAGTAACAATGGTGGTAATAGTATTTGGAGTAACAGTAATATTTTTGTAGTGTCTACTTGTCTGTGACATAGGCCTTAGGAATTTAATTTTTAAGCTCTAAGTCACATCATCAGGCCTGTCACACACCAAAATGATATGTGGCTAGATTATTAGCAACCAGGTATTACACATCTTAATAACATATCTATGCAATCTTATACTAAATAATACTGTTTTTTTTTTCTCCTGGCATTTGGAGGAAAGATTGGACTAAATTCATTTTATATACATAGGAAAATAAAGGCAAGTAACACTTAGTGATAAGAAAATTTATTCTTAATGTGTATAAATGTACATTTTCTCTAATAACCACAAAAGGTCCTTTCTAATCAGAAGAGAGCTAAGACATTTTCATTGTATTACTCTGTGTACAGCACTTGACCATAATGGGGAGATTCTAACCTTTATAGTAGGACCCATGCCTTTCATCTGCTCAGTCAGTCTCTAAGGAGATCATAAAGCACTCAGGCTTCCTAAAACAAAAACTCAAATGATTTAAGTAATAAAAGCACTTAGCTCAAACTTGCCACTTTCAGTTGCATGGACCAGGGCTGCAAACCTGCTTTTACTGATATGCCTATTTCTTTACATATTCCATTTGCCTTTTCTTTATAGTTCCACCAAAGATCTCCAACATATCCTCGGATGTCACTGTGAATGAGGGCAGCAACGTGACCCTGGTCTGCATGGCTAATGGCCGTCCTGAACCTGTTATCACCTGGAGACACCTTACACCAACTGGTAAGTAACCCTCCAGTCTCCAAAATGACACAAACTGTTTAAAATACCCTCATGCTTCTGAGAGTCCATTGGACCCGAAAGGAAAGCATCTATCTTGTTATTAAAATGCTAATGGAATAGTGACACAGGACTTATTTAGGTCCCTTTCTGGTCTTTTCTAATGTGTTCCTCTCTATAAAGTCTACAGCTGTAGAACGAAATATATATATATCATATTTCATTTTCATATTGCCTTGGGGTCAAGGCAACAAATATAGAAGCATTAAATGCATTAAAAGATTTAATAATATGTCTAAAATATATGCCAGGTCAGTGCTTTCGTGACTTGGGACAATATTTTGTATGGACTAAATATAAATAGTTCTTTGTATGTTTTTTGTTTTGCTTTGCTTTTAAATATTGTTTCCAAATATGTAACAGCTTGTGAAGAAAGCTTTTAGGAATAATACAAAATTGCCTCTGACTTCTATACCATGTTATTTTGATTACTGTAGCTTTGTAGTATTATCTGAAGTCTGGGAGGGTTATTCCTCCAGCTTCATTCTTTTTCTTCAGTATTGTTTTGGCAGTTCTGGGTCTTTTGTGATTCCATGTAGATTTTAGGATTATTTGTTCTAATTCTGTGAAAAATGTCCTGGGAAATGTAATAGGGATTATGTTAAATCTGCAGATTGTTTTGGGCAGTATGGCCATTTTAACAATATTAATTCTTCCAATCCAAGAGCATGCAGTTTTGTTCCATTTATTTAGGTCATCTTTAATTTCTTTAGGTAGTGTTTTATAGTTTGCTGTGTATAACTCTTTCACCTCCTTGGTTAGATTTATTCCTAAGTTTTGTTTTTTTGTTTTTTTTTTGATATGATTTTAGAAGGTTTTTTTAACTTTTCTGATATTTCACTATTAGTAGAGAGAAATGCAACAGATTTCTGTATGTTAACCTTGTATCTTGCTACCTTGCTAAATTTTTTTATCAGCTCTAGTAGTTTTTATGCAGAGTCATTAAGGTTTTCTATATATAGTACCATGTCAACCACATATAGTGACAATTTTACTTCTCTTCCAATTTGGATCCCCTTTATTTCTTTTTCTTGTCTGATTGCTATGGCTAGGACTTCCAATACTGTGTTGAATAGAGTGGTGAGAGTGGGCATCCTTGTATTTGTCCAGATTTTAGCAAGAAGGCTTTGAACTTTTCACTGTTGAGTATTATGTTGGCTGTGGGTTTGTCATAAAAAATATCTTTTATTATGTTGGGATCTGTTCCCTCTATGACCACTTTTGTTGTCTGTGATTTCTAATATGCTATTCTCAGTATCTGGCTCTGTGGAGGGGCACCAGGAAGGGACTAAGCTGCATAAGCCCATTATGGATCCCCATCTATTGAGGCTAACTCAATAAAAGTCAGAAAATCACTTCCCAGGAATGTCTTCTGCATCCTCCTCTCCCCCTTCCCACCATCATAACTATAACTGAGTTCTGAGGCCTTGCTGCCTTTTGAGCTTCATTTAAAGATTTTACCAAATTCTTTAGAATTAATTGCATGCATCCTCCCATACTCCACAGATTACATTTTTATACACAAAATGATGCCTTTGAAAATGACACAATATTTGTAGAATGGGGCCTGCTATTTAGTTTTTCCAGAAAGAGGAGCAATGGGTCAATTATTCTTATAAAATTTCATTTTTTGGGTAGATAGTCCCCAATATTTAACTGATTTATATCTGATATTCTCTTAAAGTTTCTTCATATAAATATCTAGAGATTTAGTTTATAACATATTAATTTTGAAATAAACACTGTGAAAAATTATTGTGCAAAGCTAGATATACAATGGGAGCTATCCTGAGATATTTCTAAAAGTCCAGGCCAGGGTAGTGTTTGGTTATAGCATCTTTAAATACTTTTGTATTTTGTGGCCTGAGAATATGGGTCTCTATTTCATATTATCCCTCAAGTTAATTTATCTGGTGAAGTTTGAACCAGCCTATGAAATGGTCTTTTATTTAGGCAGCTATTCTTATTAGAGACTTCTATTTTGTTCAGAGAATGTCATTCAAAACCCATTCTTATTGTTCATGCATACAACTTACCATTTACTGATAAAATATAAAAGCTGATAAAATATAAAATGAGGCACTTATTTGGGAGATCAACCTCAAACGCATATCATCTCATTCCCATTTGAAACCTCACATGGGAAAAATACACATGCAGGATTATCTGAAGTATGAACCTCTAGATACCATATACCTTTCCCCTGGATTAACTCAAGCCTCCAGAGCATATTCTACTTGAATGGAATTATATTAACCTCCAATCCCACACCACCTAGACCTGTCCCATGTAGAAATGCTTTTACTGAATGACAATTTGGTTTAAAGTTTTTGGCACATTTTCAAATATGTTATTTAACAAGATACCCTTTAAAATTACTGCATTTTCTGTAATGTTTTTGAGAGATTGTTCTTTCTATTACATAGTTTCTTCTGGATGGACCCTTTAAGGAATTTCCTCTGTTCTCAATATTTTGACTGTCATTTTTCTAAGCAGTGGTTTTTTTTAAAAGTGAACTAATGAATTTTTACAAATAATCATGAGTCCTTCATTGTATTGATGATTACCAAACTTAGAGCCAAATTTATGACTGATCTGTAAATAGAGGAAATCATATATAAATTAGACGTTAATGAAATGGACTTCAAACAAACTATGTGGGATTTGAGGGCGTCAGATCCATATACAGACACATTCTTGCTTCCATCTTGTTTTCTTATCGTTATTTTCATATTGTTTCACCTTTTATAAGTAATTTAAAAGTTTGTAAATAGATTATTTATAATTTCTTAATTTTTGTGAAATAAGTGGTAGATAAAGGAAAGGAAGGAAGCTATATTATATTCAAATTATAGTCAAGGAAATAACTGCATTAATAAAAATACTTTATTCCTTTGGTGCACTGTTGACTAGCAAATAGGTTTTTTTCAGGAAAAATGCTATTGGTGAACTGAACTTAGAAATATATTCTTTTGTATCCTCTCAGTTCAGAAAAGCAATGAGGTCAAACCAGAGTTTCAAGACCCTCTTCACAGACTTGTTCTAGGAGTTCAGATCTTCATGACTAACTCTAGTAAACTTTCTAATGAAAGTAAACATATGATCTTACCCCTGAACAACCTGGTTATCTATGATGTTTCAAATCATCGAACGACCAAAGGGCAAGCCAGATCTTCCAGAATAAAGACAGCACTTACATACACTCAGAGAACCCTAGAGACTTCGAAATCAACCAGAGAAATTGATGTACACACAGGGATTCCCAGTAGTCTGGCGAGGGGTCAGAAAACTATAGTCCCTGGGCCAAATCCAATCTGCCCCTGTTCTTACTACCTGCAAGCTAAGAGTAATTTTTAAACGGTTAAATGGTTAAATTTTTAAATAGTTAAAAATCAAAAAAAAATTCTATTTTGTAACATGCAAAAACTATGACATTAAAATTTCAAAGCCCATAAATAAAGTTTTAGTGAAACACAGCCATGCTTATTCATTTACATGTTATCTATGGCTGCTTTTTTTTTTTTTAATGAAACAGCAAAATTTACTTGCAAGAGATATGGCTTAGCCCCTAAAGCCTGAAATATTGTCTATCTTGCCTTTTACAGAATCGTTTACAGACCCCTGCTCAAGACTGTGGCTTGGGGCACAGGACAAGGATTTTCTGCCCTCATCTATGACCCCATGGGGCTTTGAGGATATCCTCCATTAAGTTTCTAAAGACATCTCCAGGGAAGGAACATCATTCCTCTATAATCCTCTATCTAGGCCCTCCCTGTGGGTCAAATGCTGTTCTGGCACATGCAAAACTAGCCCCGTGCTACATTCACAGCCTGAAGGGCAGACTCCAGTTCTCCCTACACCTGGTATTAATTCTCAAGCCTACTCTTTCATCTCTTTCACATCTGACCTAAATAACCACCTGATCATAATCATATTCCTGGTGACGGAAGAGAGAATTTGTCTTTACTATTCTATATAGGAAACTAGAGTTTTTGTTTTGTGTTTTTTTTTTCCCCTTTTCAAAATTTGCAACCAGAGGGTGATCCTTTTCAGCCTATAATGCAAAGCCTTTTCGGGAGACACTCAAAGAAGAGGCTCTGCTCCCCATGTGGCAACAAAGCTACCTGCAATCCATGGCCATATGAGCAAAAAACTCAAGCTAGCTTTGTTCAATTATTAATTGTACCTGCAACTGTACAGAGTGTGACTGCCTTGCTGAGGAAATGTACCTGTGATTAGCTCGACCCCACAGGGACACTGAGCCCTGAAAGGGGGAAGATCTCATGCAGAGTTCACAAGTATCTGATTATCTGTCATTTGATGACATGATGGGGAGAAAGGAAAGAAGGTGCAAGATGTTTTTTTTTTTTTTGAGAAGAAGAATATTTATTATCTCTTAATTCAGTTCTTTAAAAAAAAAAGACATTTTGGTTGGGTCATTTTGTTTCTCTTTTGAAATTTTGACACCTGAAATTTCTTTTTCAGGTACACTGCAAGTATTTTTAAAGAGGGAAATTAGAAAAATGGTGGATTTTTTTAATATATACAAAATCAAAACATATACCCAACATAGATGGAGGAGAAGAGACTGATGCATCCCATGGTTGCCTGCCTTATATTTCTGATTTCTTAATTTTTCTCTCCTCCTCACTTACTCTATATAGTCAAAATGATGTGTCACATATGCGGTTGTTAAATGTGACCTATTTTCCTCCCTTAATTAAGTTAGACTTTCATAATCCTGTGACTCCCAGAGGGCAATTGCACCGTAACATGTATTTTCTATGGAGTGTTTGATCTCCCTTCTGTGAGCAATGCAGCTCCCATCTTCATTTAACTTTGTTTTTAAATCTTTCTTCTTACTTTCCAGAGAAGTCCCTTTCTCAAGTGTGCCTCATGTGGTGTCAGGATTGTTCATGGTTACACAGTTTCTATGCACTTCA